GGCCTGAAATCTCGTCATGAATCTAATAAGAATTCGTATACCTACCTTGAAACAACAGTGGTATCTATATCTTATACTTCCTACAGTATACGTGAAGTATACAGACCTCTGCAATGACATAAAGGTAATCCTTTCACGAGTGAAAGAATCTGTACACGTACTTTCTACGGAACATATCAGTACCCTTCCTGCTTCATGCAGTATATATTATATGTACGGACTTGTGTAATGAGGAATAAGAAATCCTGCAACGACTGTAAGAATCCCGTATACGTGCCTTCCACACAACATCAGTAGACCTCATAACTCCTTCAGTATACAACATGTATGCTGAAACGAGTACTGGCGTATAAGAAATCCTGCTACAAGTGTATAAGATCCTGCTATTTTCTTGGCTTAGCCTGACGTATACTGATCCTTAAACAGTACCTTAAACATCATGACACCTTCTTATAGATGCCGTACACGTGACTGTATAAGACCTACATACGGGACCGTATTCGGATTATTTCACGCAGTATGGATGATGCAACAGAAACTACGGTGAAAACTTGTTAAACGTACGTTATTAACCAGCCTCTTTAGAGCCACTGACCATAAATATGGAATCCGTCGACAGTTGCAAAATTTTGGTATTCATTGTATGTTTTCTAAGAGGACTCTTTTGATGAACCCTTCTCAAAAATTACGTTAAAAATTTCCATCGCGCTTTTTTTCTGAAAAATCGAAAAGTTCAAAGTACTCCTGAATGGCCGTTTTCCTTCCACTCCCCTCCGGTAAAACTAAGAAAAATGATGTAACTTTGGCAAATTCGTACGCCACAACACAATGCTTCCGTATATATAATTAGTAATTACAATATAAATCATATTAAAGCTTTATCTTTGTAGTTTAATTCTTCAAATATTCTTTCTCTGCTCAAGTTCCCAGAAGACAAGGAAGAGTGGTAAAACAGGCTGTTACAATGTATGGCGATCGACATGATTCTTTTTGGCTAATAGATATTTATTTCTACTGAACAGGGTTACAATCCTTGACACAATTGTTGATACTTTTCCACCTCACCCTTCTTAAACGCCTTGTCGATTTTGGTGACGGAAAAAATTACACCGCCTTACAAAAATACAAAAAAAATATACTCAGCATCGAGAGGTGTTGGGGTGTTTTAACAAAGCTTGATAAGGGTTGCAAATGCAAGTTGACCAATAGTTAACGTTCAAGGAACACTGAAGTGAGATCTTTAATCATCGGATTAGACGAGTGCACGTGGTATCATGTGCTTGTCTGCTGTTTAAAGTTATATTTATATACGAGGCGTTAAAGAAGTTCGAGCGATACTAAAATTACCTCTTTCATTTCAAGGATAAAATGAAACTTTCTGATGAGCGTTCCCGTGATTGTAACTCTCTCGAAATTGAAATTGAGCGGTTTGTAAATATTAGTCTCGTTCCGTGTAATGAACACAATTAGGTCGTCAATGCGCGTAAAATTCAGTTGCACATCAGCTGGCACTTAGATGAATTTACATTTCATAAGACAAATTGATAAACCTTTGGCTGTGACACGTTTCTTTGTTATGGTTGACAGGACCTAAAAAATAGCATTCAGAGGGCAGCCGTCGGTGGCATTACTTTACATTGTTTATTCACTTTCAAAGACTATCTATTCTGAGATCATCCTAATACATGCAAAACTGAATAATATGACACTGCAGCTTCGGGCGCGAAAACAGAAGCACTCATGCAGAAAATAACAAGTACACAACTTTCATTGGGATTTGTGGAACACCCCTCAATAAATATCTACAGGGAATTTATGCTCATTGCGAGGTTGTTTTTAGAATTATCAATCGTAAACTGTTCGCTCTATCGAGTCTTGTAATATTAAATCAATTTGTGTACAAAAAGCCGAAACTGTTTAGGTCGTGAGATATTTAAATAAGCTTACTCAAGAAAATTCCCGTTTAAGTAAATTGTCCAGCTTTATGGTTGTATGTTGATGCTTTGTTTCCACAAATGCTTCAAACGTTTGCTTGAAATTAAGAGAAAGACTCACAAGAGGGACTGGTTAGATCTGTATATCGGTATGCTCATCACCCGCTTTTTGTCTATTATCCTTGTGGGTTTTACAGTCCTTGTCTTACCACGCAGTGCTCAAGGTGAGTTTAACCTCTTCCGACTCTTACTTAGTAACACTATCGTTGCTTTTCCCGAGATAAGAAAAACTCCCTTTAGTTAAATCACTAATCGCCATCGATCGTTCCTGATCTGGTCAAACTAGAATTTGAATTATACAAAGCTTTCATGTGTTCCAATTTAATTGATGTTTTTATTTTCGGCATCCTATAGATTTCTTTGAAATCAAGTGTAAAATTGAATTGTTTTCCGCCTAGCCTCTTTCCTAAACCCATTTTCAAATCTTTTGGCTTGACGGGAATGGAAAAGCTAAATAAACTGAGTCAATTCTATACTTAAGCTCATGTGTCCACGCTAATCCAAAAGCACATGCGAACCCCGTTATTTTCAGTAGCGCGCGTTGTACACGAAAGTAATCTAGATAGTCCTTATGTATGTTGCAGGCGTAAATCCAAATAATTAAGACTAAAAGAGGAGGCCAAAACATTCCGGGGGAGCGCGAGTAATTTATTGCGATACGTTGCAGTCGAATGCTTTTAAGCTTCCCCTTTTTCTATGATCCCTTATTTCTGGACCACACAGAAGAAAGAGGCACACGCGCAGAAGCAACCTTATTTTTAACTAAATGTAAATGAAGAGATGAAGAGATGAATCTTCATATTTTAGATGCTTCCTCTAAACCTCTACTGATTCTTGATGCATGTTATTTTAACAGTATGTCCAAAGAACTGGGTACGTTTTCATAACTCGTGCTACAAGTTCTCTTCCAAGTCAGCCTCCTGGAATGCAGCAAAAGCGTCCTGCGAAGCTCAAGGATCCCATCTCGTTGTGATTAATTCTCGAGCTGAAAATCAAGCGATTGGCACTCGTTCTTCACACACTATGTTTATTGGTTTGCACAGGGATCCTAAAGACCAGTCTCGCTGGCTCTGGGTTGATGGTTCGCGGCCAACCTTTACTAATTGGAATTCTGGAGAACCTAATAATTCCGGAGGAAGGGAGGCGTGTGTCGAGTTGTATACTCAGAAGCACGGATTGAAATGGAATGACCTCCAATGTACTGGTCCACGTCGTTACATTTGCGAAACCAGTGGTGAGTCAATGCGATCATGGCCTAAGAACACATTTCGATTCGATGCCTAAAATCTGAAATCCAAATATTCACAGCATACTCGATCGAGAGCCTCAATGTGGTGACGGTTGGCGTTCAAACGACGTTAACTTGACAACTGTTAAAGGGCAATGTTTACCGTAAACCGTCCAAAAAAAAAAAAAGAGCAGCGCGATATTTGCTGTCAAAATATATCACGGTCTTTCAAATCCTTCAATTAAGAGCTGTTTGTCGCGGACAGTTAATATCTCGAAAAAATCTTAAAACCGGTAAATCCGTTTCCACGTTTCCAAATCAAAACTAATTTTATGGTCATTTCCACTAATTTTGAGATTTTTCAATCGCTAAACGGCGTCAAAACGAACATTGCAACTACCTTCTATCCAAATATACTTCTATTAGGTTTAAAAAAATCCAAACAGATTCTCAGTGGATAACTTGTTCACTTTGTGACCACGCCAGTATGGTGTACCATACTCCCGCAATCACGAGTTGCAAGTCGAGAGCATGTCCGGAAAGATCTGAATCACACACACTTGTGGTGTAAAGCAGAGTAGGAATCAGTTGAGAGAAAGGAAACCAAAAACATCATCATTGTTCATTTGAGAGAACATGATATTGATTTCTACGACAACTTTTGTTGGAGCTCATTTGAGGTCGAGCTATACACACCAATAAGTATTGTATGGAAAATTAAAAATTCCTATAAAGACACGGACAAAAATTTTGAGGGATTCCCTCTAGCGATATTTTCGAAGTTCACAATTACTAAACCAGAGAACTCAAATTGGGAAAGGAGTTGATAGCTACTTAAATATTGTTTATGGTTTTGCAGTGCGTTTTAAGTTTTCATTTCATTTCATTGCCATCACTAAAAGACCGAAATCACTTCTGAAAAAGATAATTCGTATCAAAAACTACGAAATCAATATCAAGTGAGTTTCAAATCACAAATTTCTTCCTCACAATTATCAGCCGTCAAAAGCCCTAAATTTCAATCGTCAACCGTCAAAGTTCCTTCCCGATTACATGTGACCGACATTGAGCGTTGAAAAGCGCCAGAGTAAGGTCATCATAACATTTTTTCCTTGTCACTACAACTGTTTGCCTGGTGGTAC